TATGAATTATGCAGAAATCATTCAGAGATGTAAGAGCCTTGTATTAGGAGTGGGCATTTTAGCTACTGTCTGTCTCATATCTCATTTTATTTATTTATTTTCCCCTCATTTTTCCCTATTTGTCATACTGGTGCATTGCATTAGCGCACCACAGATCTTGTAGCAAAAACTTTTTCTTTTCTTTTTTTTTTAATGTAATTGCAATTTTTGCCTTAACTAATTCTAGAGTGTTACCCATGGTCAAGAACAAAAGACTCCCCTGAGCTCAAACGGGCCGGCTTGATCACTTCAACAAAGTGCTTGATCAAAGAGTGACTGACACTTTGAGTTAATAGCTGGAGTAATTGAACTAGATAGTCTCTACGGTTTTTTCACAAGCTCGACGGCGATGTAAAATCCACACGTTTTCCACCTTGTCTGTTTGGCAGCTCGAACGTTTCCCTTTAAATGAGCCTGTCAGGGAGTCATATTGTTCACAACGACTTGTCTTTCATATTGGGAACAACAGAGGGAGACGGATGGCAGGCCTGGCCTTTTGAAACAGGTAGCAGGATTTGCTCATGTCTTCCTTTGGTGTTGAATTGCTAGAAGTGTTTCAAAGATCATTTTCACAGGAGGTGGATTTGCATTTCATAAAGTTTAGCAACAAGCATTCAAGACGTAAGCCTGAGAGAGAGGTGGAGAGAGAGGCATTGTCTAGAAGGAAGAAGACACTTCAATTCATCTGGAAAGCCGGCTCCTTCTCACACGCCTCTCTTGACTCCCATTTACCCCCTACTATAGTTTAAAGAACGCTTTGAGGAGTTTCACATTTGTCGGCTCCTGAGTGGCAAACTTGGAGGCGCTCATTGGCAGTCAGAGCGAGGCGGTGCCACCCTTCAGGTTAAGTGCAGGTTAGGGAAAGAGCTGCCTGGAGCAGGTTCGCTAGAAGCCAAACGACTGGCTCCCAGCGTTCATGGGAAATCGGAGGGAAAGGGAACGGGAGAAACGAGGAAACAGGGAAGGGATGTTCTCTGGCAGAACACTGAAGCCCCGAGGCCTTCATCTTCATTTCAATACAAAATGACTTTGTCATATAATCTCTTTGGTGACTACAGCTCTGAGTTAGGAGCACGGAACAGAGGAATAATAAGGCAATGAGAGCAAAGAGGAGGGGAGGAGTGCTGGGAAAGTGTAGGAAGCACTAAAAGCAAGCCTAATGGAAAATGAGGAAAACTAGGGTGAGAAGGGACAGAAAAGACGAGCAGGCCGCTGAGAATTGACTCCAGAATAAACAGAATTTGACAAAGGCCTGGCTCCCCGATGCTCGGTATCTGTTTTGACGCTTGTTTGCCAAATTACAGCGGCCCATTGTTTTTCATTCAGTTCATCAGTGGCAGTGCCAGGACACTCCCGGGGTCCCAGCGTAACAAACAATCACACAGTGAAAATGCAGGCCCGGCCCAAAGGTAAACAGAATAACAAAGAAGTGTGTGTTGCGGTCACATAAGATAATGAAATGCTTTGTGAAAATATCACTTGACAACAATGAAGGCGGTCGTCGGTTGAGTTGGCACACATGCCTGGTGTCAGAAGCCATGTATGATCACTTTCAAATGATAAAACTAGCAGATTATCCAATCTCACACTCCATAATGCTAGCTGGATTTTTTTTCTCATTTGCTCAGTGTTATTGTCTTGGTTTTGGCTACTTAGTGTGGATGTTGTGACCTCTTGTTTAGCGACCAGCGTGTTTTGGTACACGAAACCTCCAGTTCAGTAATCAGATGTTGATTTTTTTTCATTTACTTTTTAATATTTATTAACTTATATTACTATCATCAATATAATAATTTTATAATAATGTTATCAATATAATTAGACAAACATTTCAAAATGATTCTTCTATCTATCTATCCATCTATCCATCCATCTGTCTGTCTGTCTATCTATCTATCGTTCTATCTATCATTCAGTTGCTCTTTCCATCCATTCTATCATTCAATCCTTCATTCTATTCGTTCAGTCATTTGTTTCATCCATCCATCCAAAAACGTAGAGACTTGACAATTTAGGCCTTGTCCACACTAATGTTTTCGCTTAAATGCATGTTTTTCTCTCCATTTTGGCCTTCCGTCCACATTGAGATGGCATTTTTGTCAAGGAAAACTGAAATTTTTGAAAATGCTCTCCAAAGTGGATACATTTGAAAATGCTGTTTCCGCGTAGTAGTGTAGAATGTGAAAACGGAGGCTTTTGAAAACGATGACGCATGTTTAGTCATGTGACGCATATTGTACCAATAGACATGTACAGAGTTCTGGCATGAAACTCTAGATGGCTCAGTCCGATAGGTCTAACTCAATCAGACCTAATGACATCATTATCACATGGCACAGCTGATTGGTTCTCTCCTGTATCGGTAGCCAATGAGCTCGCTGCTCAACATTCAAATATATGATTAGTGCTTGCAATAGCAGTTGCAGCTTGCTTCAGAAACCCTCCACCTTCCCCAGCTCCACCTGTATAGATCTGCTATTAGGTGATTCATGTATGATATATGGGGGTTATTCATACGTGTTATATGTGCAGCAGCAGTATTTCTTACATGCTTACAGCAGCATGTTGTGGATGTATTGGCAGTAGCAAGACTCTGTACTTGCTCTGCCGCAGCAGCACCCAGCAGCGTAGCAGATCTATTCCGCCAAGACCAAATATATTAGCATTGTCATGTACATTACCATGCCAATCCCTCAGAGAGTTGTCATGACAGAAATATTTTTATACTGGTAATTGTGCCTGTTATGTACTTTTCACTTTCACACTGTTGCTAAAGATATTTACTTTGTACACTCTTCATATTACAGTCCTAAAAAGATGACAGAAAAATTACTCACAATTGCTGCCCTGCAACAAAACATATGGGCAGTTGTGTTTTAGATCAAACATGAGTGAGCGGGACATGGACACGTCAGTGAATGATGAGAGATTTCCATAAATGAAATGATCCTGCAAGAAGAATTGCGTGAAACTTATTCTGTCTGTTGTCTGTCTCATCTTTCATGAGATTTTACACATGCGCAGTAAGGCGAATTTGACGTTTTCCGACATTTCAGTGTGGATGAGAAACTGATTTGAGCTCTGTTTTAATTCCTGAATTAAAATATTCCAATTCAAAAATGCAATTGGAATTAAAAAGCACTCTTGATTCTTTTCTGAATGGTTCACAAGACACTTGTGTCTATGAACACTTTCTCTTTCCTCTTGGCTCTTTAATGCACTACTCATTTCTCCTCTGTTAGACCCATCCCTCCCCTCTTTGCCTTCAGTAATGAGGGCAGCAGGGTTAAATTGGCACTGCACAAGTTGGCATCTCTAAATTGAAACCAAGAGAGAACATTGCCAGTTGTGTTCCCATACACTTCCCTGGGCCTTCTGCCTGTTCTCAGAGCCGAGCCAAGAGAGCATATGGCCGCATGTAGATACGCAGCGAATCTTTCGCGTGACTGTCATCTGAACACTCTACGCTAGTGAAGAGCGTCCTGATGTGTCTGTCCCGTAGACGTGCGCCACTTGTTACCCAAATCCTCTCTCTTTAGCCACATTCTACTTCATATAAAGCGTGAACAACTGTGAAAGAGCTGTTAACATATATGTGACGTACGTTGCCTCTGGATTCTAGAAGCCCAGACACTGATTCTCCTCACGCTTTGCTCAAATGAGCCCACTGGTGCATAAAATGAGATCGGTCTTTCAACTGATCTCAGAATTCAGGCATAAGTAACTCATTGCACGTGAATGTTGTCTTAAGCGCTCTTGTGGTGGTTGCACAGCGATACGATGCAGGATCTGCCACTTGTCAGGCGAGTTGATAGTCGATATGGCATGCTGATTGGCTGTAGGACTCGAGATGCGATTCGCCCCTCGGGGCTGTGTAATCTGGCTCCTGACAGCTGCTCAGTGGGCAGTCTGAACACTTTACGAATACCCCATAGTGACAGATGAACGATGGTCATCCTCAGGTCATCTAGAAACAACCATGACTCTCGTACCTTGGCTCAGAGATGGACGAGTTGCTCATACTAATGCTCAAACCTTGTTTCATAAGATCATGTTCTTGGACAATACTTGTTAAGTTTATATGACAGTGTTTTGTGGTGTTTAAATGGAGTACTCTAGGTTTATAAGGACTGCAGAACAAAGCTGGTCAATTTTACAGCACCTGAGAGAGTCAAACTCACTCGGCTTGGATACATTTGATTTAGTACTTTTAATAGTCTGATAACATTAAAGGCAACATGTAACCTGCTTTTCTTCTAGCTAATAAGCCCTCGACTCAAGGTTATGATGACCATACAATACAGCTATAGTGTGATCACATCTATCTATCTATCTATCATCTATCTATCTATCTATCTATCTATCTATCTATCTATCTAGCTGTCTTTCTATCTATCTAGCTGTCTTTCTGTCAATCATTCTATCGTTCTATCTCTCGTTCTATCATTTGTTTGTTCTATTGTTCATTCAGTTGTTCATCTGTTTTATCTGTCTGTCTGGCTGTCTCTGTCATTCTATACATCATTCCATCCATCCATCCATTGTTATATCTATATGTCTGTCTAGTCGTATATACCTAAAGGTTTAAAGGGGAGGTCTAATGCTATTTCATGCTTTCTGACTTATATACAATGTTAAAGAGTTGTATTCTCATGCTAAATATGGCCAAAGTTCCAAAAAACAATTTGGATGTATGGCGGAGTTCTGTGCCAAATACACTCCTTCTGGGTTCGTATAAGTTTCTGAAAGTTTTTTTTCGAGTACGGCCCTGTATGTAATGTTGTTGCTGATAAAGTGATAACTAGGATTTAGTTTCTTAAAATCGAAAATATTTGTCAACCTATATCTCAACTGATATATGAGATTAACATTGCATTGTTTTTTAACTATATCAGCATTTTTAAGACACAGAGAGTAAAAAGAGCACATTTCTAAATGTTTCTTCATTTATTCTGTTGCAGGAGATTGCGGCCTACTTGATTACATTTGAAAAACATGAGGAGTGGCTGACGACGTCCCCCAAAACCAGGTAAGATGACACGCGAGACAGCGTTTCCTCATTCCGAATGCACAGTGTTACCTGAAAAGCAGAAAGGTACGTTTCAGCACAGTTGCCAGTTCCTGCGCATTTCGTGGGCATGTGCAGACAGATAATGGAATATTAATGACTATTTATAATGCAAGATGTGGCCAGGTCTATTAACTTAATGCTGTCTTTGCTCACCAATGCCATTAACGTGGGTGGTAATGTGGTGAGATCGTAGAACATCACCCTACGGTGATAAGGGCTCCGCATGAAATGTACAGTGTTACTTGATTTACCGAGCAGTGATAATGAAAAAGCTTTTTACTTTTAATGTCAGTTTCTATATCTATCCCGAGAGATAACAGCTGTGATATGATGATGAATACAAATTAAGACAATATGTGATTATATATGAAGCGCACATCAAGAGCAACCGAATGGCACGCAGATTCATTCTAGACTTTGACGTTCCGAATGTTTTCAGTGCAGTGTATTTCTATAGAAATATAGAAGGCCATGCAATTCAATTTAATCGTAACATAAGGAACTTGGGAACATAGAAGAAAATATCCAACGGTATCAAAAAGGCAATTTTGCATGCTTATCTGTGGTGGACCAGAAAGATCAGTTTGGATTTATTCATAAACAGAAAGCTGTGGAAAGGGTAAGGGTTTGTATGGGAGGCAAATCAAGGGAAACTAAAAATGTGGGCTGACATATCACCACGGGGTTTTGGGTTCAAGAGCTGTTTACATGGACAGAGGTTGCCTGGCCAGCATCTGGACCTGTCATTCACAGAACGTGTACACACACTTCCGTAAGTACAGCGAGCAGACGAGGCAAATCAGAGCTGCTTTACTGAGCACACAACTGCTCAAGACTTTTAGAAGCAACCTTGTTTCCTTGTGTAACGATATTTAGTGATTCAGCTCTGACATCAGGTACCAAATGACTCATAAGATGTTTCTTGATTTGTTGTGTTTTACGTAGGCACAGACACACACATGCTGTGCCCCCCATAACATATTTTAAGAATGAAGCCATGCATAAAAATATCTGAGTGTCATTGCTTTAGATAACAAAATATCAAGTGTCTTTTATTTTGAAGAAAAAAGAACAAGCACATTTCAAGCAGAACAAAAAGTTAGTTGGTTTTAAATGATAAAACTACTTCTACTACTACTAGAACTTAGAAAACATGTGTTTTCTATCCAGATATGTGGATATGTGTGCATGTCCAGTGTGAGTTTTTTTACATTTTTGAGCACTTATCTACCAATGCAAATCACTACTCGTATATTGCAAAGATTGCTTTAACTGAAACATTTCCCGTCATGTACCAATTATGAAAATCTTGACAGATAATCCAATGAAATCAAAATGCAATGATATTTAGACATTTTTAATTGTGACTTATGTGTCTATATATATATATATATAACCTATGTTACAATAAATAAAAGAGATTGCACAATAAATTAAATGCGTTTTACTGGAATACTAAAATTATATGCACTCCTGTTCAAAATTTTGGAGTTGAATGTTTTTGAAAGAATATGCTCCCCAACGCTGCGTTTATTTAATAAAAAATACAATAAAAACAGTAATATTGTGGAATATTATTACAATTTAAAATAACTTTTCTGTTTGAAAAATTGGAAAATGTAAATTATACCTGTGATTCAAAGCTGAATTTTCAGCATCATTACTCCAGTCTTCAGTGTCACATAATCCTTCAGAAATCATTCTAATATGCTGATTTGCTCTTCAAGAAACATTTCTCATTATTATCAATGTTGTAAAATGTTTTTGCTACTTCATATTTTTGTGGAATCTGTAATGCATTTTTTAAGAATGTTTTTGATGAACATAAAAATACAGCATTTATTTCAATTTGAAATATTTTGTAATATTATACATGTATTTACTTTTGATCAGTTTAATGTGTACTTGCTAAATAAAAGTTTGCACTTAATTCAAAAAAGATTTGCTGTTGGAGAGAATTTGTGTGCTCCCATTATGTGGGTCACATGAGAAAAGTGCATCCAAATAAGAGCGTAATGATGAAGCGTTAATGATATGATCGCAGTGTGTGACAGCGCCAGGCCGCGGAGCAGCAGGGAAGAGACTGCTAGGCAACTGTCCTCTACACACACACACACACACAAACATGTAAACACAAGCGTTCACATGGAGTCTCAGACACACATACACATGTGCACCCAGACACACACACACAGGCTGTCTTCAGGGGTCACAACTAGTGTGAGGTCACACTGCATGCGACGACTGGAGATATGCAGCCGACATCACCCCCTAAACGCTTACACACACACACACATTCATCTCCTAATATAATTAAAACAATGAAAGCACTGCGATGATTGTCATCGTATTAATTCGAAGTTAAAAGAGTGCTTGTATCTTAGTAGTCACTCTTTATGAAGTGATAGGTTGGGTAATCACTCACGATAACTCATTTGAGAATATTAAATTGTTTTTATAGGACTTTGATGTATTTTTGTTGGTATTGGTGGATTTGAGATCATACTGATTCAGTGCTGTGAATTGTACACACATATGCTGCTCTGCTGTGCATTGTGTGAGTGGCTTTGTGTATTTGTATTTTTTTTATGTGCATGCTAACCTTGATATACCTGGCAGATCTTGGTAATATCACTGCTCTGTGTGAGTTGTGTGAGCCCACCACACACAAACAAGTAAACACAAGCGTTCACATGGAGTCTCAGACACACATACACATGTGCACCCAGACACACACACACAGGCTGTCTTCAGGGGTCACAACTAGTGTGAGGTCACACTGCATGCGACGACTGGAGATACGCAGCCGACATCACCCCCTAAACGCTTACACACACACACACATTCACCTCCTAATATAATTAAAACAATGAAAGCACTGCAATGATTGTCATCGTATTAATTCGATCTTAGTAGTCACTCTTTATGAAGTGATAGGTTGGGTAATCACTCACGATAACTCATTTGAGAATATTAAATTGTTTTTATAGGACTTTGATGTATTTTTGTTGGTATTGGTGGATTTGAGATCATATTGATTCAGTGCTGTGAATTGTACACACATATGCTGCTCTGCTGTGCATTGTGTGAGTGGCTTTGTGTATTTGTATTTTTTTTTATGTGCATGCTAACCTTGATATACCTGGCAGATCTTGGTAATATCACTGCTCTGTGTGAGTTGTGTGAGCCCACTTTCTATTAAAGATGCTTAAAGTGTATGTAAAAGGCCTGTGACAGCCTCACTGTTTGCTGGGATTCAGTTTTGAGGTTAACAGCACCACACGCTTTTTGACTTTTAATTATTAGAAATATTTGTTAT